ATCCCACTCAACTTCAAATAGCAATAGCTTCTTTGTTTCAAATTCGATCCTGGCGATCTTTATATGCTCAGAAAGGTATAGAAGATCCCCACAAACCTATCACATTACTTTGACTAAAACCACATCGAACTAAGATTCTTAATTTACGCAAGAAGCCTGAAACATCACTTATTCTCATATTACCCCTTTGACTCCAAAACACGTATCGAGGGCTTGGATCACATAATCTATATTACCCACATCCAAATGGGTCTAAAGCTTTCTTCCCTCAAAGCCCAAAGCCTTATGATAATCGATCTTCGGATCGTGGCCCCAAATTAAGAAACAACCTAAAACATGGTGTTACAACCCCCTCCCCACTTAAATTAGATATTGTCCTCAAAATCATACCTTACTACCTCTTCTACCACACTATCCAATCTAGATAGAATTTTGCTGAAATACAAATAGGGTTGTGATGTCGCCTCATACCGATGATTGTTCTTCCAATAATGTAATCAAAACCCCAACGATAGCAGAAAACATAAACCCTGATGAAGAAACGAGCATTGCCAAACTAATTTTAACTTATGAAGAGTAACCATCACTACTTTTCCTAATAATTCAGAAATCCAATAACTTGTCTGACTTCCTGACCTACAAAACCATTATGATACGCAGTCAATACCACACCACTTCACAACTCAACCAAACGAAACTCTTCCGAGCTTGAATTATCTTGCTGAAACCACCAGAAAATAGAATCCCTAACCATTTATTGCTGCCGAAAGGACCTTCTACTAAGTTGGGATACAAAATCCTCTACCGTCTACGACATCCGACCATCTCACACAGGGTCACCCCATGAGACTTCGCGCATGAGTCTAACTGCTACAAGCTACCTGAACCTAAATACCACACGGATTCCATCTGTCGATCAAATAGTTATATTACTCTAAGCGTGATCCAACACCTTAATCAAACCAATTTCTATCGGGTTTCACCCCTACTGCCATAACCAAATTGGCCTCGGCCACGGGTCTCACCCAATCTACATAATTGAACGGGCCTCGCCCACGAGTCTCACTCCTCGAGGGCCATACAAATATAGAACATTGCCATAAATCCAAATACCCTCATTCCCAATAAGGAGTTGTGGACCAACAAAATGATCTGAATTGACCCATGCATGCGTTGTGATCCTCCAACAGCCCAACCACCACTTATGCAATGGCTTATCTCATTCGAGTGGAGTTGAATTCAAGTAGCGCTGACAACCTATCAACCTAGTGTATGCTACAACTACATTGTAGTCTGACAACACCCCCATTTATTGTGCAAACGTCAATCCACAACGTAACTAGAACTAGCTCTCCACTTGACTAGCGTATGGAATTCTTCCTTTTTCTGTACCTGGAATTATTCCCAATAATCCCAACAGTTCTCCCTACTTGGATTCAACTACGCTCTTCCAACCTAGCTAATGACAACGAATGTTAAACCCTTTACCGGAATAGACGGATCACTAATCCAACAACCCACTTTCTGAAAGATCGACGCACTTAGAACATCTCTAACGAATATAGTTTATATTCCTCGACGATCCCAACGTCTGAACAAAATTATGCGACCAAAATCGTTACTCACTCACTATTGCTCTCACCTTACTAGCGGTAGCGATCAGGTCAAAGAGCTTTTCCATAGTCGATGGTCGTCCATCTGGAGCGATACAAGCACCTTTGAACTCTAATTTCATTTTCCTATAAGGGAACGACCAACTTCCATGAGATCCTCTTGGGAAGCTTCTGATGCTCGGACCACATTTACAATCCCAAAAATATGAACTTGGAGGCAAACCCCTTTAATCGCGTTCTGACCAATCCCTTACACCTTACACTATCTTGAAATTCAGTAATCAAATGTACCTGCACTACAACTCTTGCTGACCCATTGTGTTGAATTAACACATCAAAGTTGACTATTGATTCCTCCAAGAAGGACCCCTATCTCACTACCAACAAGGGTCCATACCATAATAGCTGACAACCTCAATCTATCTCAACAAGATGTGATCCACTCATGGCTCTCAGTATGCAAAATGGCATATGACGACCCTTGATAATAATAAGCAGGCAATCATATAGAAACTAAACCGGAAATAATGTCTTACAAACACAAATGCA